GTCTCCCGTGCACACGCTTGTGTGTGTCTGTGTGTGGATGGTGTTCAGCACCAAGGACAGGCATGTTTGCTTCTTGTGTGTGTGTGTGTGTGTGTGTGTGCATGATTGTGTGTGTCTGACTGTATGAATGTGTGTGGATGGTGTTCAGCACCAAGGACAGGCATGTTTGCGCGCGCGCGTGTGTGTGTGTGTGTGCACGCTTGTGTGTGTCTGTCTGGGTGTGGATGGTGTTCAGCACCAAGGACAGGCATGTTTGCGCGCGCGCGCGCGTTTGTGTGCGCACGCTTGTGTGTGTCCGTCTGTGTGTGGATGGTGTTCAGCACCAAGGACAGGCATGTTTGCGTGTGAATGGGGAAGTAAAAGAACACATTCACAACTCCAGATACTTAAATGAGGTCTGAAGTCTTTGATATTCTCGTTGACGGCCGAGGATGGCTCATTTTCACCGAAATCTATCTACCCACATAAGTCATATTTCCATCTGAGTTTCTCAGTCTTTGTAGCCTACAACAGGCACTTGAAAACTTTGTCTCCGAATTCCATAGTAGTCCCGAGTCACTTGTGTAACTGTTATATCTTCCGTAGGTCCACCTTGAAGCTGTGTGGCCGGTGCAAGCTGACCCGGTACTGCAGCCGTGACTGTCAGAAACAACACTGGACTGTCGGACACAAGAAGTGCTGCGGACATGACGCGTGTGCTGACAGTGACGACCCAGACCCTTTCCAAAAATTGGTCCAGAGGAAGACAGGGGGGCTCTAAAGATCCAAAAACAGTTTAGGACATGTATAACAAACGTACCGGTAACTCTGCAGACATTATAACCCTGGAATACTTCTCAAAAGTCTGAAATTTCTGCTTTCGAGTACTAGTACCATGGTCCGACGATGCCGCTACCTAGGATAAAATAACTACTAGTAATCTCCAAGCAGATTGGGTGGGGCAAGGAGACTTTATAGTGGACATGTGGGGAGGATGATGGATACAGGAGGCCAACATTAAGTCCCCTTGCCCCACCGAAACGCATTTAGCTACTAGTATTTGTCACAATTGCTATGACGCTGTTGCCTTTTTATGTAGAAAATCATCATCATCATCTTTGCCGCTGTAGTCATCTATCGACGATTGTAGAAAATAATGTTGTGTCAAGTTTTGTTGTTTACGTGTTTCCCGTCCAAAAGGTCATTTTACAGTTTTGTATGACTTTTTTGTGTCATAAAAGTCTTAGAAGATTGTAACGGGTACCTACATGGGAGTGGGATTTTTATGAAGCAACCTTTGCCTTGCAGTTGCACGTTTCCTTTTTACAACATAATCTATCGGATATTATTGTCATATTTCAAGGTTGCAGATTCTTATTGAATCATGTTTCATCTGATAAGGTCACACCAATTTAATTTCTTGGTTAACGGATTCTCCCGCTTCATTTTTTTCTGATTTGCAAACAAAAATAAAAATTCATAATCAACTGCAAAATGCTCATATTTTGCCCTGAACAGTTGAAAACAGTCCTTTTCTTCCTGTTTGTTACAGTTATTCCATCTTTCAATGCAGTGGTCAAAATTCATTGTTTAAATTTTGAACCAGCCTGGTGTGTTGACTTCATGGCTCCTATCGTACCATTTTGGGCCATAATAGGATGCCTAGGCCTGTTTTTTTTTTCGCCCGCCCACAAGTCTGTGCTGGAGTTAGGGGCAGGGACTGGGCTAGTCAGCATAGTAGTGGCAAGTCTACTGGGTAACTACATGTGTTTTCTATAAAATGTTAACATTCAATAAGCCCTCAATAAGACCTCATGCCTAAATTGCAAAGGATAATATTTGTGGTTGATAATTTTTTTTATTGATTACGCAAATAAGATCCTCATTTTCCAGAATTATAGTACCATATATATTCTCAAGCTGCTACATGTACAAGCTGCTAGGGGACGCCCAAACTTACGTAACTTCTTCCCGAGTACAAGAGCTATCTATCGATATCATCCAACGTTTAAGGCCTCCATACCTACAAGGTGATTGGTAGTGAACCACTTACTTGCGGATAGTAATGTTTAGACCATCGCACACTGGGGCATGCCCGTACTCTTTTTCGAAATGTGTGGTGGCCGGGTTCTTACTAACGTGCGTGGAGTATGACATTTATCATCATTGATAAATCCCACTTTCAGACATTGAATCTTGTAGAGAAAGACCCTTTTTACACAACCAAGTTTATTCAGCCGACGTTTCAGTGACCGTCTGACACCTTCCTCTGGAGGGCAATTCTGACTGGTTGTCGCTGCTATAGGACGTTTGGGACCGCATTGTAGATAAAGTTCCATGTAACAACGCATATGTGTAGATATGTAAATATTTTACCTTTGGGGCATATATAGCAGTGATGAAAGCTATTCACGGAAGTGAAACTTATAGAGTACTCTTCTTGGTATAAACAGGTGCCAAAGTGACGACCACAGACTGCGGGGAGACTCTCCCCTGCGCCTGTGGAAACGTGCCGAGGAACACCGAGCTGCGAGCCAAGCACGCGCCGGTGGTGCGCCGCCTGGAGTGGGGCACGGCCGACCTGGAGGACTTCGGTGTACAACACTACGACTACATCATGGGCTCCGACATAATCTACAAGGAGGAGACCTTCCCGGACCTGCACAAGACCATATATCATGCACCTCGCCGGAGCGGAAACAGTTCTGTACCTCACCGGAAGGATCCGGCTTTCAGCAGACGAAGACTTTCTGGACACGCTGAAACAGGATTTCTACCTGAGCTGCGTTTATGAGGACCCGATAAGGGAAGTGTACATATATCGCGGCGAAAAGTTGAGGAGAAATTCAAAGACATGAAGAAGAAAAGTTTTTTTGTAAAGAAAAATAGTTGACCAACTTTCTTGTACCATGGAGGTAGGGAAAAGCTCCCTCCATTGCTCATACCCCCGTCACATTGCGCGTAAATCGATCGGCCGACTAGTTGGCGAGCTCTAAACGACATTTACGGCCGTAGTACGCCCGATGTTCCGTCGAGCATCGCGCGAATTTTCGGGATCGCCGACGATTTTTTTGAGTCGGCCGAAGCTCGCTGACACGCGAAACGTGTTCTTAACATCAGCGACTAGTCGCCGGCTATTTTTGAAGTCGCAGAGCTCGTTTCCAGCTCGCGCGTAGCTCGCCTGTAGCTCGCCCCTGTGCGGCCGAGAGTCGACCGATATTCGGACGTACATCCCACGAGTCTCGGCCGTATTTCGTCTTTGAAAATCGGCCGACGGTCGCTGAATACGGTCGACCCTCGCGCGAGCTTCGCGAAATATTCGGGCGACCCTCTTCCGTACCTCGCCCGACTTGCGTAAAGTTTTTTAAATCGTGCGTGCTTCGAGCGAGCTTCGTGCCAGTGTCGGACGAAGGTTCTACGAGCCTCGGCCGAGCTCCTGTGAAGTTATTATTTATTCAGCACCTGTGACATTTATTTCAGATTGCATTGACAGTATACTGTGTAAAGTTTGCAGGAGCAACTTCCCATTGATTGTTAAAGTTATGTTTACGGAAAGGATAAAAATAGACAAAATCGTCCTTTTTGTCCTTTTGTTAAATCAACATTCGTTAATAAACAAAACCACTTTAAAAAGATGACGAGGTTTTAAGTACATAAGGCCAAATGCCTAGATTTTGACCTCAACTGATTGAACGCACATGAAATTCTTTACTCTTGTCCCTTTAGGAGGTGTGTGGCCTTATTTCAGAAGATTGTATTATTAATAAATTGACGTTTACACTTGTTCATCCTGGAATGAGGTTGACTTTTTTCTTAGGGTGCCCAAAAGAACGTCATGTGATAGATATTACTTACCAGTTGAAGTTTATATTGCATGGGTCTTTTTACCTCTGTCTACTTTGTTGACATTGAATGGCTTGTTTACCGGAAGATTTATACTATTCTAGACAGAAGTATACAGGCATAGTTTTAGAACAATATATCTTATTAGCTTTGTTCCGTGTATAAAAAGATTTTGATATAATAATAATTATGTCTTGATGTACGTTTTGGTTGAATGGTCTATAGATCGTGCGAGCATCGATAGACCGTCGACCGTAACTCGGGCGACGTACGCCCGTGTGTCGAGCGAGCTTCGGCCGACTCCTGTCTGGTTAAAAAGGTAGTCGTTGTGTTATACGTTAACCAGACGGTAGTGTAAATTTGTGGCTCTTGTGGTAATATTTGAGTTGGATCCTTCACAGAATTCCTGTTTGTATTTCTATTTTATTCTGCCAGTCCGCTCCATTACTTTGCTTAAAAAATATAACGACAGGTCAAACATAAAAATCGGTTAAACTATTCATTTTTGGTGGATACACGGCCTTGCTTCTTCTGCGTGCCATGTCATAGGGGCTTCATTATCATAGATGTATTGCCAAGCGATCACCCGAGACTCGCACAATGTGACGGCGACGATTTTCAAGGCAAAAATACGCGCGAGCGTCGGTCGATCTCAAAATCTGCCGATCTTTCAGCGATTGACAAATACGGCCGAAGCTCGTCGACAATGTGACGGGGGCATCAGGAAGCCGGTGCACCGGTCTGTATATAGTTTGCATAGTCGGTATGGTAAACATAGTAAAAGTCCTAGAGGTGTACATTTAAGCGATTGAGCTAACATAACAAGCTTGCATATGAATAATCCTTAAGCGCCAAACCTCTGCAGGTATAAAAAAAATCACACACGCTTCGCCTCACTTTATGCATTACGCTTTGAGTTTTACCAAAGGGATATAGATCGAGAGTATGTGTGTGTTTGCGTGTGTGTGTGTGTGTTTGTATTGCTATTCCACAATGCAGCTTCTATTTGCTTGAACTATTTAGTGTTGTGAATTTCTTGTTTTACTTGTTATTGTGAATTTCTCACGGTTTCTGTACCTATTCCATTGTCCCTCACATGCAACCCTTTAGTTCCTGAGTTTCTTGTTAGTCTATTATCTTAACCTGTATTAGCTATATTCTGCTGTGGGAGTAAACACGTAAAAGCAACTTGTACATATTCAACACATGTTGACTCTAGTGTTACTGAAACAATAGATGTATCTGAATGCTCGACGGGAAAAACAACAACACACAGCAAAGATATGTGACACCATGGTCCAGCTTTATTCCGTATGTACGGAACTCGAGATGTTTCCATGTCTCATCAAAAGAAATAATTACAGTACATCTTGTCAATCTACATCTTACAACACAGTTTTCATGAGACAACAGTTCACTTATCAATTGAATTATCAAATTTCTGTGTGGTTTTTTACTCCATGCATGTTCTTAGTGTATCAATACGACTCTCTTGGGCTTTTTTCGTCCGAGTAGACGGTCTGCGGTTTCTGTCAATCAATACAATTATGGTAGTAATATAAATTGGTAAGTGAATTATGTCACATTAAACCCTGTGTTTTACATATTGAGCCATGGTCACATTACCCAATTTTTTCACCAGCAAATAATTAACTTTAAGTCAGTCTGAAGAGCAGAGGCCAATATCATTTTCTAAAAGAAAACATTTTTAATTTAGTAAAATTGAGTACTGTTCCAGATCAACAAATAACTTGTACTATTTATCATCCAGTAACTGAGTAGTGCTTTCCATGCAGACCCATGTGTGGAGATGATGGGGATGATGCCGACCTTTAGCATGGATTCCACAATTGGATCATTACTGAAAATGCATGTCATTATTTTGCTCAAAGCAAGACGAAATTAAGATATTAGGCGGAAAACTGATGAACAACTATCACACGTTATATACCAAACCTTATTATCAAGATCATCCCTGGATTCATAACAGCTGCTCCTTTTTTGGTGGGAAACCATTTTCTTTATCTTAGGTATCAATACGCGGGATGCAAGAGATCAAATTCACTTTTTGGCCAAACCAAATGAAATACAAATTTGCTAAGATTATAAATTGACAAACAGGTACCCAGGAATAGATAGCAAACGTAATTTTCAAGATAAAGCCAAGACGTTTTTTTAAGAGCCGCCGCTTTGAAGTTTTCCCAATGGTTGTTTGCGAAATAACATGTTTCACCTGGCTGTAATTGATCTGGAGGGTACCTGTGGGAATGTTGATGAAAGTCTATTTCAAGTTGCATTATTTTAGGATTCAGAAAAATAGTATCTACAGAACTAGAACATTCGCTTCTTCTATTGAGACTGCCTTAAAGCTTTAAAAACACATTCTTTAACTAGAAAGACCGACATTTGCTCAAGAGCAAATACAGCACATTTCACCCATTCTTCCTCCCCATTCCAAATTTCCCGTAGAAAGGCCAACATTTGCTCAGGACCAAATGCAGCATGGCTTCACCACATCCCCCGTACCAAAAATGGACCTATCCCTCTCCCGGACAAATGGATTGTTCCTAAATCACTCCTGTTCAAAATGTGAACTGTTCCCACAGTTTATACCCCCATACAGCAATGGAATCTTCTGACCCCTTGTTCTGTTGGAACATGTAGAACCCTGGTAAAACCCGAGTGTTCTATTTAGTTTTTATTGGGTTTTCAATCGCTGTTTATACTCAAAATAAGTTCAAGATAAATAAAAGTATTTCAAAGGGTGCAATCTGCATAGTGAACACTATAGTCTACGCATTTGGTGCCAAGACACCTTTATGTTGAATTTCGGGTCATTTGATTTTCGTATTAGTGCATAAGAGCCAAAAATGTACATATTTTGGTAAAAAGAGTCCCATTTTACATAATTTTAAAGTGACACACGCCAAAAGCGTGAATAAAGTTCTGTGGGATTGTATCAAAAGATCACAATTTTAAAGTGACGTATGTCAAAAGCATGAATGCCATTCTGTCGAAATGTGTCCAAGGTAACCCTATACCAAATGTCAGGTCATTCGGATTTAAAATTAGGGCACAGCAGCCAAAAATGAACCGAAAAAAAGCCGAAAATCCCTACTTTACACAAGTTTACACCAGGGCTCCAGATCCCGAAAATGTATATTTTTGGCATGAAAATCACCCAAAAAAAAGCAACAAACAAATGAAACAAATCAAAGGCCTGTTTGAAAAAAAATTAACAAAAAAAAAACGTCTAGTTGTATTTGCCCACTTTAGCGCCATGCCAAATTCCATGTCATTTGGTTGAAAAAATGGCAGAGTTGAATCCCTTCAAAGAAATGGCAGGAGAAGGAGGAGGAGAGGGAGAAACATTAGAAAAAACAATACATTTCTCCCATACCATAGTATGGGTGAAATGTAAAGAAGTCCCTATTCTATTGTTATGATAATGCTTTATGATAATAAAGAATATTGCTGATAGTATATGATGATGATGTCCACTACACTGAGTCTAAAATTAGATGGAGAGCCTATACTATTAGTATACGATAATAAGGTTCACTACACTGTGTCTAAGATTAGATGGAGAGCCTATACTATTAGTATATGATGATAAGGCCCACTACACTGTGTCTAAGATTAGATGGAGGGCCTATACTATTAGTATATGATGATAAGGCCCACTACACTGTGTCTAAGATTAGATGGAGAGCCTATACTATTAGTATATGATGATAAGGCCCACTACACTGTGTCTAAGATTAGATGGAGAGCCTATACTATTAGTATATGATGATAAGGTCCACTACACTGTGTCTAAGATTAGATGGAGGGCCTATACTATTAGTATATGATGATAAGGTCCACTACACTGTGTCTAAGATTAGATGGAGAGCCTATACTTAGTATATGATGATAAAGTCCACTACACTGTGTCTAAAATTAGATGGA